AGAAATGTTATATTAGCTATGAGCGCCTTATATGGCAGCCGAGCTGTATGCTCCCCAGGGAGGTGAGACCGCCTACGGAGTGCACCAGTGCAAAAATGACCAGGCTTCCTTGACTTAAATATTCATATATGTAATTGTATAACTTCAACCTTCGGGTTGCGATTTCTCCAATAAAGATTATTATTATTCAGTTGAGTCCATGGCTTAATGCCAATTCACTTGTTTTCAATGATGGCAAAACAGAGGTAGTTCACTTTACCTCTCGTTTTTCTAAGAATGCAGAAAAACTAGAGCTATAAGAAATAGGAAACAGTACAGTCACGGTAAAAGATGAGGTTAAAAACCTTGGAGTAATTTTTGATAATAGGTGCGATATGGCTGCCGACATCAGTAAAAAATGCAAAGCCGCTTTGGTCTTTAAAAAATTCCAAACTGTCCCATATCCTTGATAAAAGTCAAATGGAGAGGCTTGTCCATGCCTTTATAACTGCACATCTTGACTACGGAAACAGTCTACTGTATGGTCTTTCTACCTACCAAATTGAAAAACTGCAATCTGTCCAAAATGCTGCAGCACGACTATTGACCAAAACCCATCTCAGATCAAACATTTCACCTATTTTATTCGAACTACATGTACATGTACATTGGTTTCCTGTACGACAGAGAACTGTTTTTAAATTTCTGCTGTTTGTTTTTAAATTCACCAGAGGTGAATGTCTATCATATTTTAACTCAATGCTACATCCAAGTACACCCAGTCTCACCAGGTCTACCAGATCCACCTCCACTCTTTGTTTTACCAGAAATGATAATAAAAAACCAACCAAAACCTACGGCCACAGGGCATTTTCAATTGCAGCACCGATTTTTTGGAATCAACTACCCTCACACAATCGGACTATTGATAGTGTTGAGGTTTTTAAAAAAGACTTAAAAACATTTTTATTTTCACAGTATTTTAATTAATATTTTATCAGAAAAAAAGTTTTATTGTTCAGACCATTACTATTTTACCAGCATTAATTTATTTTAATTGTTTTTTTTTTACCTTAGCTTTTATTATCTATATAATTAGTTGTAATCCTGATAATTTTATCTGTAAACAGCACTGAGAGTAGTGTAGTGCGGTTTTAAGAAATAAATATTATTATTGTTATTATTATTACAACACGCCTGTTGAAAGTGGGGCTTTTCGTAACTAATACAGGTCCACTGTCATGCAGGTTAAGTTGTTCAGAAAAACATCGTAGCCGTTCGTCGCCGTTACATTCAGGAAAGCGTATCCCTCGCTTGGATCACCGGCATTTTTGGTTATTTTACAAATTAAGGCAGAAGTCAATTTACGTTTTAGCTATAATGATTCTGAATTTACTAATATTTTGGACCAAATTCGATGTCAGATTCATAGCCATGACGGAAAGCTGCCAGAGTAACTGTTTAATTTTTTTACATTTTATTTCGTTTTTTTCCTCTTTTATTATTATTATTATTATTATTATTATTATTATTATTATTATTATTATTATTATTATTATAAGTCGAAAACTTTTCCATGTTCAACTTCTCAAACGTGTACGTACACTATTCTGGACTATTTTATTTTACCCAACTCCATATACAAATACCACTAACTGCCCCTCCCCTATAAACAGACACACGCCTCCTTGCTTACATTTTGCCGTCTTTGCGTCACTTGTTGCACACACTGAAGATCTCAGGCACGTATGGTACCATTCATGGTATGATAATCTAAGCTAGCCATTTTGCAGAGAAAATTCTTTAGACCTTTCAACACTGCATTTCTCCTCGAGAATCTCCCCATTTAGGGACATATCTCCTGTTTGCCCGATTCAGAATAAACACCCCCTGATTTAGAACGCGTGGCGATAGAATGTGCTGTCACTTAATTGCTTTCTCGGTTTCATTAATTGACGATAGTAATTGCAGAAGAAGGAGGAGGAAATGCTGAAGACAAAACAACGTCGGGTCTTTGCGTGACTTACTCCCATCACACTTTTTATATTGCTGTCAAAGCAAAAGGAATCAAGATAGCGATCATATAAACCGCTGCCGCTGGTTTTACAGGTACACTTTCTCGTTTATCATTTAAATGCCCCCCTCCCCCAGCAGACCCAACTTGAGGAATGTCATAGTAGCTACACTACACGTACTGTATATCAAACATCGGGCCAAGTTATGAAAGGTTTAAGCACAAAACGATAATTTGAGGGTATTTTTTCATTAAAGACAAAATTCAGTATCTATGATGTGTGACGATATAGGGACTTTACAAAGCTTTACGTGTACTTAAATATATTCCAGTGACATACAGGTATGGAGTTAGGCTCGCGACGTAATTGTAACCTCAACCTGAAGTTTCCCCGTTGAAAGCACCAGGGTGAACACTGAAAAGCGGAGTACAAAAATTAACTTTTTTAAATATCGATTACAACATGCTGTCCAATGACTGAGTCGTAAGTACCCGCACGAAAACGCAGTAGACACTCCAGCGCAGTAAACTACTGCAATCATACTGCAAACACGCTTTAAATCTGCTTCGATTTGGGTGCTAATTAGCATATTTGAAACATGCTTCTATCATGCTGCTAATCTACTGCAATAATGATCCTCTCTACACAAACCTATGTACTTTTTGGAGTAGAATTGCAGTAGGCAAAGATTTGGAATAAAATGAGAAAATTTGACCAATTTTTCATAAACAATGGCGGCCATCTTGAAATCCTGCTTTGGTGTTTTTTTTTTTTTTTTTT